TATTAAATGAATACAATTTATTTTGTAATTATATCATACATGTTTAACCGATAGAATTTGTTTTTAGTTAAAATTATTAGATATTTATTTGTAGCAGTTGCTCCCATAATGGGACAAGATTCCATGGCTAGATCTACAATCCATTGTTTTCCAATTTCAACATTTGATTCAGGTCTTTTATAAAGAAATATATATCTTGTGTGCTCAAGTATGGCTACATACGAACCATCTGAAACATGTAATGAATTGAAATATTGTAATAATTGTATGTAAATAATTGTATTTGTATTTATAGTTTAATTAAAATGAATAAATATTTACCTGAAGGGGAAAGACAAAACTTCTTGTTACTTTTACTTGCCTCAACATATCCAAATCCCGAAAAAGTGTAATGGTGCTTTATATTCCAATCAGAATCATTCACTTCACCAGCTATCCATAAACAGCCGTCGTTATCATGTCTTAAACATATTGCTTGTCCAGATTTTGTTTTATATGTATATAATACATGATTATTTACTCCAAGCATTGCTAAATGAGTATTTTCTTGTGTAATCAGGTCAATTCTTTGCAAAAGATTGTCTTTTCCTTCAAGATCACATTCTTCAAGTTGTTCAGCATTAAATCCCAAACAAGGTTGACCTTGTTTATTATCCATTTGGTTTGTACATAAATGCGCCAATCTAAACATGAAACAATAAGATACTAAAATATAAATAATGTAACATTTTTATTATTATTACAAGTAATGTACCTAGAGTGAATTTCAGCAGCCAAAGTTTCATTAGGTAAACGCTCTCCACCAGTGTCACCTTTAATTAATTCATTCCACATCAAACCACTTTCGTATTTGTATAATTCAAGTTTAAATGTATCTTGTTCATATTTCCACGTTGTTAAACTTTCATCTAGTTTGTGTTGGCATTGTCCTTTGATTAATACTTTACCATTCACTGTCACTGACAGTTCTAACGGTGTTACGTTTACTTTAACTTTATCATGATGTTGCTTATCAATAGTAAGCCAAACTGTTATTAAATCCTCATCTTGAGACCAACAATATTTTGGAATATTTAGTTCTCCAGTCTTTTCTGTATTTTTATTACTATTAGTAGATTGCTTTGTTTTTGGACGTTCAAACGTTATATAATCTTGACAAATGGAATGTAAATATTTCCCACATTTTTCTATATATACATATTCCACTGCACCATTTACATTTAAAGCTTCTTTATTAGTTAGTTCAAAGTACTCATCTTTACTTCCTACATTTTTCCAACTATATGTTAGCAACAAAAGTCTTGTAATTTTTTTTTCACTTGTACTTTTGATATCACACATCACGATCATGACAGTAGCTGCAGCATTCACATATTGTACATCTAATATAACTCCAGGTTCGGCATCATTTAATATAAAAGATTTGACATGTTCTTGAGTGTCTGTTATTAATAAGTTTAAACAGTTGTTGCCATCAGAGAGTACAACGATATCATTGCTAGTAAATCCGATTGAAGGATTGTACAAAAAATTCTGTAGCTTTTCACTTGAATCATGAATTACGTGTACTTGTTCTAAATGTTTATCGTTTTTAAAACGCCACACAACCCAATTTTTATCTATAAACCAAACTGACGTGTCGTATGGATTTTTGAATAAATGATTATGAAATGCAAACAATCGGGTTTCTAAAAGGGAATCCCGGTTTGTTGTCAGTTCTAATCTATATACGTCTGTAAATACAAACAATTATATCTTTAAACAACAATATATTTTATATATTTTATTGAACAAGAAACGACAGTTGTTTAATAATAATGATTGAATAATTGATTTAACAATAACAATTGCTAAATAACAAATGACAATTGAAATAACAATGTATATTTTTTAATTAATCCTTACCTGTTTTCAAATCTATCTCGGTCTCTATTGGAATTTCATCAGTACAAAACTGATATTTTTCAAATTTTAAGTTTATTAAATCCCTATCAGGACATAATTCAATAACTTTCGTCATTTTTTGTTTTGTTTTTTATCTCCGGTTAGAGCAATATTATTTAGAAACAAGAGATATAAATATCTTTTCAGAGTAAAATTTATAACCTTAACATGTTCTCTCTGTTCTGGTTATTTGGATACTTTGATTTACTTATTTATTATATCACTTAGTTTGTTTTACAATATTGACAATACATATGCATCAATTCCTTTTTATTTTAACTAAACTCTAATACAATATTATGAACATTGACAGATTCAGTCACTAGATGCTACAATCGATAATAATCGATATAGTTACAATATAGAAGTACAGTGAACGTTAACGTTAGTAGATTTGAAAGTACAGTAAAGTAAGGATGTGTCGCGTAAGTTTGAAGTGAAATTTCCGGAATATTAAATACACATTGACTTTATAAGTGTTTTACTTTGTTTTAATGATAGTGAATCGTGTATCTAATATTACGTGAAATAAAACGAAGCTACACTCTTCTCTGATACTGTAATATATACATATGTACGTAAGTACAAGGGGGATGTTTTGTAGAAAATGTTACGTGGAAGTAACAGAATGTATCAGAAATAACTTTTATTGTTTTTCTTTCTTCAATAGATTTTTTCAATCAACATATAGCATGAAAGAGCAGCGAGAATTTTACATTGCTAGCCTCAACCTACACTTACGTCCAAATGGTAATTACACATTTTCAAAATAAATTACAGATTCTTAGATCCGCAAGCGTAGAAACTATCGTAAAACGTTTAACAAAAATATTTATTATTTTGTATCATTGCATGTTTAAATTCCTTTATTTTACTATTCGAAGTCAGTTCGTTAGTGATGCGCGCGCATGTAACGAACATGGCGCGAAATTAAAATTCTCCTATACATTCGGGAAACATCAATCCAAAGACAATATTGATTCAACGGAATTTCTGTTTCTTGATTCGTATTTCGCAATGCCAAAATAGTTCAGTGGGCATCCGAATATTCTTCGATCATCCGGTAAATAGATTGGTTGCAGATTGAAAATGAAACGGCTTGCAGAACCTAAAAAGTTAGACGTAAAGGTATACAAAACAAGTAATATATTAGAAATGAATATTAAACTTGGAGATTGATCAAAGTTTATTCCAAAGTTTATATGGGAATAAGGGGAATAATTATACTTGTTTGTTTGTTTTAATTGCAATATTATATGAATATTAGAATATATTTATTCTTTTTTAAATCTCTAATTTATTTTTATCTTTAATATAATTATCTTTTTTTTATGATGACAGGCCAATTAGTTTGTAAATTTATTAAAAACAACTTGGATTTATTATATCTGTTTTTTAATATTTTTTTTACTTTTCTAAGACAATACTCAAGTTATAAAAATGTGCATTTTAATTATTATTCACGTACAGAATATAGAATCTAGGATGTCTCATTTATTAGATCATTTATTAATATATTTTTGCAAGTAGTTAAGATAATACTAACCTGGAGAGAAATCTTGGATTGTTACTCGCTGTCCAATACCATTTAGTGTGATTGCCTAAATAAGATGAAACTTGTTTTAAGTAATCATCTTAAACACATTAGACAGCTAAAATGTTATTTCGATTTCATTCCAAGTAGCGATGAAGAACTTAAGGTAGAATGAAAGTCACTATAGAGAGATTATGATTCAAATATTTCTTTTAATGCAACATGCATTCAAATGCGTTCTGTCGATTCTTTTTGGGTTATAGTTATGACTCATGCAATATTGATTGATGCAGCTTCATAATCAAACTTTCAGCGTACTTTTTTTTCTAATTAATTCGTAAATCTTCATATTATCTGTTAAAGATTGGCAAAAGCGTAGTTTCGTTCATGCAATTGAATGCTGTCTTCAAATATTTTCACTTTACTACAAGTAGATTTATTTTATTCTCTAGTCTTTTTTATTATACTTGTAACATTACTTTTTAGAAGAAAAGAGATTTAACTGATATATAAGTACTTATATTTGTATAATATTAGTCAAAGTTCTTTAGAATATTGCTTTTAGAAAAGTAATGCATGAAGAGTAGAGAGAAGAACTTTCCTCGCACGTGAGTCACGTAAAATCATGCAATAATATTCACATATAATCAGTAATTAAAAATACAACAAATAAAACGAGACAACGAATTATACTAATCAAAGTCATCTCGTGACCAATGCTTAACGTTATATCAGCTGTTGTCGTAAGTCGTGAACGCAAATTACATTTTGAATAGAATCAATGAAGCAAATGAACGATCACAGAAACAAACGAGATGCAACAAGCTTTACGATAGCGCCGATACCTCTCGACTTCGTACTGCGTTTTCGTGTCATCGTGTTCGGGATTGTTGTTTAATGAGTCAACACTCTCCTCAACATTTATCCTAGACGAATTTTCCGGCTGAAATTATCATATATTTTCGATTATGTTTGTTGCTTTCAATACGCTTGAATTTTACTTGATGTCTCTTACTCGTGTTTCATATGACATGATTCTTGAACTGGTTGTTAAGAAAGTGATACTTCTGTGTTTTGGGAGTTTTATGAATTTTCTGATGTATATATATATATATATATATATATTGATATTTAGTTCTATATGGGTTTATGAGAAGTGAGATGGCACAACGTTTTAATATTGATTTCCTTAAGGTTGTTTTATTCGTTGTTCGTATAACATAATCAATATTGCATATTTATATGTGTGTGTGTATATATGTATAAAAAAAGAATGAGAAGTATACATACAAAGCCGATAAAGATAAATAACAAATGTGTGATAATGGATCTGAACTGGTGTGTCACATCGCAGCCAAGTATTAATGAAATAATCCAACAAAACCTGAACATATTTACGATAAAATCGAATCTGTCCTTGAACCGCTAATTTTTCTTTACTTGGATCGATTTACTTATAATCGATTTAACAGTTTAACCCACCGAGGATTAATTAAGAGTCTGAGATCTTTAAAAATATAGCTTCTTTCGATATCAGGTCTTCGTATTTCAAGAACAGAGTCCTATCTATTCAAGGAATAACTTCTCCATGTTTTTCTTACCGACTCGACAAAATCATTATCGTCAGTACGTTCTGCTTTCGTCTGGTATCTTTCTTCTTCGTCTGGATTTTGTTCTTTGGGATCGTCATCTTCTTCTTCCTCGTCTTCCTCACCTGCCTCCTCTTCCTCGCATTCTTCCAGTTCCGGTTCTTCCTGCAGATCCTCCATTGACTGCAAATCAACGATACGGTGCATTGAATCTATACTTAAACGCTTTTCATTGAATCGTTAAATTTTTTCTACATTTTTTTCTTTTATTATTTTAGTTTCTTAAAATATCGTACAAGATAATACGTGTCTTTGAAATATTTTAATAACAAATGCTCAATTGGAATACGTAAAATCTCTAATTTTCTAATTTAAGAAAACAATTAAAAGTTAAGAAGGCTTTACGTAATTACATAATACGTAAATAACGTTGATTTATCGACAAAGAAATATTAATTCTCGAAATGATCCTTCTCTACAACAACATTTTTCACGTTGTCGGAGTCAGGTATATAATATTGAAAAGAAAGAAAGTATGTTTTGAAATATTTCAAAGCGAGCCTGCAAAGTAGATATAAAAACCATTACTATTTAAGTGTTTACTATTATAAGATTATTACTAATATTTAAGCGTGTCAATCGTCAAATAATGCTTAATTTCATTGAAAGAGAAATTTCTTTGAAACTCGAAACACTATCGAAAAAATCCACTTGGCAAACTGCTAAGAACTTAACGTAACGTAATTTTTATAAAAAAAAGAAAAAATCTTTACGAATGGATTCGGTTTCGGAGGTTTAGTGATGATGCCTGTATTTACCCCTAGGAGCTCCTTCTTCTCTGGTTCTTCATCTGCTGTAACATAGAATTTGAGGTTAACTTTACATTTTTTTTTTCTTACAAATTTAAAATCTTTTTCATTATATCAGTAACAGTGAACACGACAGGATATTACAGGCTATTGGTCGTAATCAATCAGATTATTGGTAATAACGCAAACAAGAAATAGATTATTTGGAAATTCCAAACAGCCAAAATAAAATCATAAATCTTGCTTCTATAACAATTTCCGCAATTAAGGTGTTCTGCGAGTAGCAGAAGTTTCAAGGTACAACCCTGATAAAAATAAAAATTTTCAAGGTGCAACCCTAATAAAATTGCCAGATACAAAATTTCTCCACTCGAGCATTTGTTTACCTACCCCCTGCTACTCGTCTTCGTCCCCTTCAAGGGTGGTCTAGAATTAAGCCTAGGCTACCACCTCTCCATACGTTTATTCTTTTAATGATTAAAGCATCCATTGTCAACGTTTAAAGTGTATAGAAAGTCCGTGTGTATAAATTTCAAACCTACCCTTAATATGAACCTTTTTATCATTAATTAAGTCCTTCGACTCCGCGTTGGCCAGCGGTTTATACTCTTTGCCCGGTGGCTTCACGTGCGTGCCATTCGGTCTTTTCTCGTCTTCGGTCACGTTCTTGAAGCCGACCGTTTTCACGCCGCCCGCCAATGGGTCCGTGTACTGTTGAGATTGCCATCTCTGGGACCCGGGAGATGGAACCGCGGGCGAGCCAGCTACCGCGGCTGCGCGTCTCCGGCGTCGATCTTTCCTCGCGCTTCGCCATACCTCGTAGATGCAGCCGATCACCGCGGTCACGAACACGCAACACAACGCGATAAAGATGTAAGTACCAGCACCCTGTTCCTCCTGGGTCGCGTCCGAATACTGCGATTTATACCGTATCCTCTCCGGCGGATCCTCCACCCAAGTCTTGTCGCGACCCTTTCACAGAAAGTTTTCGTTTCTTTCACACTTTTTAGAACTTCTAGAACTTCTAACTGTAAGTAAAAATCTAGGATTTCCAATTCATCGCCTTACGTCGTTTTTGTTTTTTTAAACTTTTCTTTCTCACGTATTATTACTCATTAATTCGTGGAGATTTTAATTCTTCGTGCAACATTCTTTAAATTCGAACACTGCAAAGCAATGAAGACTCGTACGTTGCAAGGTATTGCTTTATTGGATATTGTAGCAGGGTTTACAGTGAATAATTAGGTGAGTAATTTCTTACCACGCTATCGTTTCTAGGTGGATCAAGGCCACGTGGTTGTTCGTGAAAGACCGCGCACTGGGCGCTCCTGACGCCGGCAGGTATCGTCGCCCTCACAGTTTCGCTGCCCTGTTTCGTAAATAGCATATATTCCTCGAGTGGCTTCATGCCAGGTCCCCCGTTGATTGATACCACGACGTCTACAAGAAGAGGGTATCCGTCATTTCGTAATCGCAATGTGGCTGACGATCGTTTTGTCTAACATAAGAAAGATAGTATTCTGTTAGAAACCACGGTTGCTCGATCCTCTAATTGTAAGCGTCGACGAATAACGTGACGACTTTCGACAGTCTACTTTTTCGTTTTTTTCTCTTTTTTCTTTTTTTTTTTTTTTTTTTTCAAAGCGGGTTGATTTAACGTGGCAACTCACTGCTCAGACAGCCGGTGTATCCTTTGTACGCGCTGAATCGCGAGTCTGTCGTGTTCAGCCCGCCTAGTTGAATCTCTGTCACGCCTGGACTATCGTCCTCGTCGTCTCCCAGATTCAACACCGGAATTGGCAATAGTTGCACTGGCTCGCGGTCGATCTACAACGGGGAAACGAATTGTCAATCGTTTTTGGAGATGGATTGCTACTCTAAAGTCGAATCTCGTAAATCTCGCAAGTTCTACGCCTGTTCGACATCAGATACGCTGCAAAGCGTTTCAGTTTGTGTCGTATAGTTGGTTTGCCAGGTGAACGAAAAACAAAAAGAGAAAAAAAATCGTTCAATTGTTCGATCGCAAAAGTTATATTTGATCAAATGAAAAGTAAAATTTATCTGACTGAAAACGGGAGAGGAGGTTCTAGGAACTCTAGATCTCTTTCTTAAATAAATTACTGATAATAGAAAAGTTTGTCAGAGAGAAAGTTTAGCAATATGTACACGATTTGAAATATTGTTTGGAAAATAATACTCGATCACAAATTTTGTATAATGTTTGTATATCATTAGAGATATACAAATAGTAACATACAGTCACTGCAAGTATCGCAGTAGTAATATTACATACACATGGTGGTACATAGTTTAGTTTAGTTTTGTTTTTCTCAATAGTAAAATATCTGTTTAATTATTTATTCGCGTTTGCACTCTGCTTTGCACGTCCAGCGAGAAAGAATGAATTTTTTTGTACAAACAAAAATCAAGATTCCAATTTATCCATAATTTGTGTTTTCATAAATGAATATTCAAGAACATGTATTAACATTTACTTGGAAAGACCATAAAAAAATTATTAGAAAATACGACTTTTTAAAGTCTTTATTGCTTAAACAAATGGTTTTCTTCGCAAAATGGTATACACCATTGGAAAACACTAATTTCATCAACACAAACACTGTATTTTCAGTAATTTCCGAGATATTTGACAAAATATGTCCTGAACCCTTAAATTTGACATCGACGATCGAAAAAAAAAATATGTCAAATGTCAAATATTTTTTCAAACACTTATGCCAACTTTCCTCAAAATTCCTTCTGTGATTGATATTTCGGTATGTTCCTTCGTAAAGCAGATTACCTCGTGCAATTCGAATAGATTTTCTTCGAATGAAGAATCTTTGCGACTTGTTACAAGACTGGAGAGGTACAAGGTCAATAAATAATACTGTCAACGTACCAACAGCAAGGCTGTATTGTTATCTCGATCATAGTAGACACTGTGTCGCGCTCCATTTAAGAAGTTTCTGTCGTTCAGGCGCACTCCATACGCGGAGCCTTCCCTGTCCTCTTCGAAAATCAGCTGGCCCTCCGACGTCAAAGCAACCAGGAGGTAGTAGCTTCTTCTGGAAAGAAAGAAAAATTCGTCGAAAGACATACAGGATTCAAGAACCTGTTTTTCGGAAAATTGTCGCCGGGAAACGTTTTCGATATCGATGGAATGAATTAATTAGAATCAATTGAAAAGGTGAGCGAACTTGAGGCTTACTTATTCTCCGTTTGTAAGAGAAGAAGAGCCGTGGTGCGTTGTCGAAGTTCATTGGTCGAGAACGCCAGTTGAACCTTGACTTGGTTCACTTCGCCAACCAGATCGAACTCGCGTTGAAGAACACTCTCGCCGCTGAAGTCCGCTCCTTTCTCTAACAGAAAACGCGAATTTCGTGCATCCTGGCATGGAAATTATTTCGTTGCTCTTTAATATCTAATATTTATATAATCTGTGTTCAAAGTTTACGACTCGTTGTTCAAGTTTACTTTCCACGACTGATTTGATCGAGTACGATCGCGTAAAACTGGATGACATCATCTTTTTATTGGTCTAATTTATTTTTCAATTGGTCAACACACTGTATCGTTATAGTGTCGAAGGAAGGTTACATGAAAACGTAAGAGCGTCTAGCATTTAGCTAAAACAAACAGAGAGCTTACTGAAATGAAAGGCAAACTTCTAACTTTGAAGAATAAGTTATCGTTGACTGCCGTTACATTTTCTTTTATTAAAAATTTGCCGAAATATTCGACGGTTGGGATAGGAAATTTCCTACCATCGGCGCAATGCTCCCCGAAATAGGAGGTCAGCTCGCAGTTGCAGGAAGACTCCTGCCTCCCGAAATCTTCCGTGCAAATGCCCAGGTTCTTACAAGGCACAGCGTCGCATTTCATTTGACAGTTGGGCAGCACCCCCTTGCTTCCTTCGTGGTTGGCCTCGTTCGCGAGGTTTGGCAAATCGACCAGATACTCGCCGATCATCAGCCCGCGAAGACAACCGACGTAGCCCTTGATTTGCATGTCCTCCTTGCCGACCCTCAGCAGGTCGTCCGTGTCGAAGCCCCCTAGATTCACCTATGTAAGATTGCTGATCATTGCGTACGTTCGATCCCAACCTCAAAGCCCGAAATCACTCACCTGGAAGTAGCTGGTGGGCGGTGCCGGTGGTCTCTGAGGCGCCAGCACTTCCTTCTCCGGGTTTGTCCAAGGTTTGTTCGAATACGTGTCTAATAGGATCGGTGTGGCGTTCAGGGTGGAGTTGTACTCGTTCACGTGAAGCGTCGTCGACCTCTCGTTTCGAATAATCGCGATTTGAATCGAGATTCCTGTATTCACACCTGATGGAATGGAATTCAAACACGGATGATATATGTAAAATATTTCCATGGAATAACATTACGTTTTGATCACGTAAAACGATCACTTCTAATTACCCGGGTACTCTACGGTGATGTTCTTAATCTCGTTACCAGCGTTGAATAAATACACGATACTAGTGCCGTTCGAAATGTAGAGATGAGCGAAATTGTTCAAATGGTCGTTCGCGTACAATATCAGCGAATGAGTGTCGTATGTCCTCAGATTGATCAGAATGTTTTGCAACATTATGCTCTTCAATAGCAGTTTCTCCTCGTCCTCCTCGTCCGTGCCGAAGTAGTTCTTCTTGAGGAACGCGCCTTGGGACGTGAACGTCAACGCCTTGTTGTTTATGTCTGGACGATTCAATCGAGAAATAGGAAGAACGTCAAGGTGAATCGGAATGGCGAAACGAATTGGTTAGGAGACGCGATTGACGTGATTCGAAAGTGGGTGCAGAAAGCTTACTCCTCTCGCAATAGGTGCCAAGGTGAGCCCATCTGTTCTCGCAGACGCACTCGAAGTTGCTCCACAGTTCTACGCACCTGGCGCCGTTCTGGCACTTGTTCGGTTGACAGGAGGGCTTGCAGTCTTTTATGATCTCGGACAAGTGGACCGACATGTAGCTGTGGATGTCCAAGATCTCCCCGTTCACGACCAAACCGCGGAAACAGCCGATCAGTCCTTGACGAACCGAGGAGGTCCTCAAGTGCTCTCTGAGAGAATCGTTTCCACTTTTTCTTTTTATTTTGAACTTTTCTTTTTCACATATATCGATAAATCGGAAATGAAAGGATCTCTTCTGGTGTTTCTGTGACGAAAAAGAAAAAAAGAAAAGAAGAAGAAAAAAGAAAAAATGCTCACGCAGTAGCTCCGCCGATGAACATGGAACCTTCGAAGGGACCAAACTCCTCCTCAGGCAGCAGATTGACCATTTGATAGTCGGTGTTGATCATAAATCTGACGTGATAATCGTTGTAATCGATCCATATCTTCTGCCATTCGCCGTTGTTCAATTTCCTCCGGCTGTTCACCTCCAACTCCCTTATCGTGCCAGTGTTCAGTGTGAAGTTGAACGTCAATCGGTACTCTGAAGTCAGAGCGACCATGAACGACGGATAATTGCTCCTGATCGGTGGTTGGTACAGAAGGATGGCTTTCTCTCCGGTTGTCCGGAAACTGAACGCTATATCGCCTTTCCTCCAGCCTGGCACCTCGATGTACGACTGCGAGGTCGTGAAAGTGACGACGTATTTCTGCGTATCTGAAAATATAACCAACGTGAGGAAACCGGAAACTAAACAGAACCGGCGTAACGCAAGTGGTCACTGACTCGTTTCGACGCATTCCAACGGTCCCAAGGTGATTCGTCCCTGTGCGTCCTCTTCGAGGTCTCTTTGCTGCAAAAACACCATTCCGGTGATACCCAAGGAGTCTGGTGTTTCGTAGTATCCTTCGTCGGACAGCCATTTCCCGGCGTTCCCGCCGGAGACGTCGCAGTTACAGCTTAGATTCGGGTCGACGCATGTCCTGTTCACTAAACGTATAGTACGTAGCATCAAAACGTTCAGTATTGATATTAATATTAACGTTATATTATAATTATATTAATATTAATATCAATGCTGAAGTAAATAATAATTATATTAATTATAATATAATATAATATAATGTAATACAATATAATATAATATAATACAATATAATATAATATAATATAATATAATATAATATAATATAATATAATATAATATTATAATATTATAATATTATTAATATTGTAATATATAATATTTATCATTAATATGTTATCATAATGATATTAATATGATATATTTATTACAATACTATGACATGATATGATATTATAATGATACACAGAGTGTCATTTTAATCTATAAATGTAATTATCTCCGAAACTATTCTTCATTTAAATAATGTCTCAAATGCACTGCTTTTTTTGTTTTAACAAGGCACTTGGTTCGTCTCTAGATAAACGGATAGTTGCAAGAGATATGTATGAAGCTATTTTTTAAAGCATAATTATCAGAGACAAACTAACACAACTGTTCCAAATTATTGCTCTCTTAAAACAAACAAACAAACAAAAAAATGCATTTGAGACATTTTTTCAAGTGACGAACAGTTTCGGAGATAATTGCATTTATAAATTGTAAAAATGCACTACGTTTTAGTCTACTCTATATAAGTTGCGATACTCACTTCCACAAGGGCAGGATCCTCTATTCACGTTTCCAATGTAATCCACGGTGGTCCCTTTCGAGCTGAGGAACCACGTGGCACTGTGCAATTCTAACGGCGCCTTGTAGCAGTCGTACTTGACGTACTGGCTGCAGTACAACGAGTGCGATATCAATTCCTGCAGCATCTCCGCGGTGAACTCTCTGTACTTGATGTTCAAAGAGAAGTCGGTCTCCGCGATCGATCGGACGTCGATCTGCGATGGTAGATTGTGCTCGACGATGGTCTTTGTCGAATCTTCAATGGACTGGAACTCGCATTTCACGAGAGCCGGCGGAAATCTGCCGTTTCCGTCGATGTCGATCTTGTAAACGTCGTCCTGGGTGTATCCCAACAATGCCAATTCTTCGCAGGTTTTTCTATACTGAGCTGAAGTGATTTTTATACATATATATATATATATATGTCACGAGTGATTGATTCTTTTTCATCGAGTTACGCTAAATTAACACTCACTAAAGTGACAATTTTTCCCCATGTAACCGGTGTCGGTACAGTCGCAGGTAATCCTGTCCTCTTTCACCGAACATTTCCCCCCGTGCTCGCAAGTGTTCGGCCTGGTACAAGGATCGACGAATTGGCAATTATCCAAGGCTACCTCGCCGATCACTCTCTCGGTGTTGATCACGTATCTAGGCTCTATTCTCTCGTCGTTCACCCGTATTTCACGCATGCACCCGACCAAACCTGATGCAAAATGCAACACGCTGTCGTCTGGTATTCTGGTTACGTAGAGTTTTTATTTTTCAAAAAGAGAGAGAGAGAGAGAGAGAGAGAGAAATATACCCGCGTTGCTCCTTCCACTTCCGATGATAACTTTGTCGCCCAGCTCGAACGTCATGGAGAAAAGCTTGCTCTGTTTGTTCCGATAATCCACCAGAACGCTGAGCTCTCCTTTCGTGTAATTCAATTCGACCGCGTGCCAAGATGTATTGTAAGGTGGGAATTTCACGCCGGTCGACACTGTGATGTTCTCCGTTAACACCGGGATCAGTTGAAAGCGAATTTCATCGTTCACCAGTCGGAGCTGAGCCGTTTACAAATTTACATGTTGCAACAGAGAATTGTTGTCGGAAGAGTATTATTCGAAATTTCTGAGATTTCTCGACGCATGCCTCTGTCACGAAGCTTTCGAAAATTAATATGAGAAAGCCATTCCCTATTTTCTATTACTTGGAAAATTAACTTATTTTGATACTGTAGAATTAATTATTAAAAATTAAATTAAAAGAGCATCATTCGTAACTTTCGAAAATTAATATGAGAGAGTCATTCCCTATTTTCTATTACTTGGGAAATTAATTTATTTTGATGGTGTAGAACTTAATATTAAAAATTAAATTAAAAGAGTATTATTCGTAATTTCTGAGATTTCTCGACTCATCTGTCACGAAGCTTTCGAAAATTAATATGAGAAAGCCATTCCCTATTTTCTATTACTTGGGAAATTAACTTATTTTGATACTGTAGAATTAATTATTAAAAATTAAATTAAAAGAGCATCATTCGTAATTTCTGAGATTTCTCGACTCATCTGTCACGAAACTTTCGAAAATTAATATGAGAGAGTCATTTCCTATTTTCTATTACTTGGGAAATTAATTTATTTTGATAATATAGAACTTAATTGTTAAAAGTTAAATTTAAAAAAGTATCATTCGAAAATTTCTATGATTTCTCGATTTATCTGTTGCAAAGCTTTATAAGAAAATCATTTCCCATTTTCTATCACTTGGGGAATCAATTATTTATTTCGTTGGTGGTATATGTAGAACTACGTTTGACGAATGTACGAATTTGTTTGTTTCTTTGATCGTCTTTCGAATAAGATTTTTCCTCGACGTACCTCCCAGTATCCAAGGCTACGGTTACTTTTCACGTCCCCTGACGCGACCACGGCCACGGGCTTCGAACTTTTGAAGTCGAAGTTCAATTTAAGAGAGTCGGTGCGTGCTATCGGCCACCAAATGTGGCTGTCCGCGAACGGATACGTTATTGGAATCACATCGACGTCCGCCTCGTAGTATTCCGGCTCCAACACGCCGATATAATGCACCATGGGATTGGAACGTTTCAACTCATAAATAATGGACTTGTCGTTGAAGAAAACGTATTTCAGCGAACCTGGAATACCGATCCAATAGATTTCCATTCGATCTTTAACCCACCACCAGTTTTGCCGGTACGACGTAAATGGGGCGCCAACTTAAGTATTTATAAAATACATATATACTAAGTATTTTAGTATTTTAGCATTTTAAATATAGTATGTTAAATATTTAGTATATAATACTTATGCATATTAAATATTTTATATTAAATATTAAATATTTTATATTTAATATTAAATATTGAATATGTATATTAAATATTAAATATTGAATATGTATATTAATTTATTAAATATTTACTATATAATACTTTATTAAGTATTTACATACTAAGTATTTTATAAATACTTAGTAAAATATTATATGCTAAATATTTGTATATATAAAGTAGTAAAATACTAAAATACTAAATACTAAATACTTAAGTGAAATATTCAAATGCTATTCTTTGTACCTGCGAAATTGTTGTGCGAGAGGAGGCCCTTCTTCTTGTGCAGTTCGGGACCACCGCCGATGTAGATTTCAGGATCGATGATCATATTGTAGTTCTCCCCGGGAATTTCGAGTACTTTGATCTCATCGTCCAAACTGACGAAGACCAGCGACCCGTTGTGAAATATCGTCAGGTTGTTCCAATGGTTCGATGTGATGTAGTCGCCTAGGACCGTCGCGATCTTCGAATTGTGCCCAAAGTCCAGTTCAACGTGAACCGATCCGTTCACTATGGAGGCCGCCACGTAATGCGGTGTCCCGTCGATTTCACCAGACGCGTAAAACAAAGCTGAATCGTCCCATTTCGTCTTTTTTCGACAAAGTAAATGGTGAATAAATAACTGTGAAAAGTTTCTCGACGAAGAGAATATAATGAACATAGTACCTTAAACGCGAGGCTTATCCTATTGACGGACGAGTGAACTCTGTCCTTCCAGTCGTAAACGCGAAAGGAGACGTACGAAGAACCTCTTAACGTTAAGATCGTGGCCGCTGAAACATGTCGTTCCTTTTTTATACAAAATGTCCTAATAAGTTCAAGTATGTAAAAATTTAGGTGTTGACTGAATTTACTTTTCCTTTTTTATTTAAAGCAGTGGGTTCCCAAACTTTTTATTCAAAGAATGAATCTTAGACGTGCCTAAAAGTCATTGAGCTTGGTCATGAAAGAAAAAAATAAAAAAAAAAAGAAAATAAAAGAACGAAAGGACAGTAAAGGACTTGAAATTGTTAAAAAAAAATAATAAAATGAAGTGATATGATAAACAGCAAATAAAGTTTACACACAGATATGAAATAATTTTAATGGAAGTTTTTTTTTTTTGTAATTCGATCATCTAAATTATTATGAAATGAAACAATATGGTACCTAAGAAATTCAAAATATAAATTTGAGCTCATCTCAAGATGAAATGTAGGAAAGTCACTGTTAAAAATTGCCCCCACGGGGTTGGGAACCATGGAGATAAAATTTTGTCGCAATTCTCGTTGAATTGCGAAATATAAGTATAGAGAGTCACGAAACGCGTGCAACGAAAGAAAACAATAAATTTCCTTTTCACGTACTGTACACGTCGCATCGCTCTCCTTCGTACTTCGTTCCAAAGCAGTCGCAAGTCAAACTATTATAGTGATTCACGCACTGGCTCGAGATGAAACAGAGATTCTCTCGCGTTCTGCATCTGAAATACAGATTGTCGAGCAGATTCATCGAAACGATCGTCAAAGAGAAATTTATGTATCCGTATGTATCTTGCGAGTCACTTACTTGTCGATGCAGCCCTCTTTCACGTTCTCGTGCTTCGTGGCGATCAGAGGCTGAATGGGCAACAAATCGCTGGCCGATTTGCCCGAGCTGAGAACCATATCCCTTATGCAGCCAACAAACGATTCTATTATGTACTTCACGCCGTGCAATCTCTCCTCGGAACTTAACCCTAACGAAAATCGTGCAATTCGTGAGAAAACTAAAAAAAATTCGATTAGAGTCACGGTTTCTTTTTCTTTCCTCCCCCTTCTCTCCACAATTTGTTCATATTCGCGGACAATAAAAGATAAGAAAGGTTACAAATTGATCGCTACTTTTGTAAAAAAGAAAAAGAAAAAAGAAAGACACTGTGAAATTTCGCAAAAATGTCGTTTTCCGACACTCTACGATACGCGACACTGGGTATTATCTCTCGATTGGACTTTCAGTTACTTAAATTCCTGTTGGGAAATTTTTACGACCGAAAGTTTCGCAAGTGATAAGGAAGGTTTACTACCTCCGATAAGGACGACAGAGGCGAGTTCCTCGGACACCCCGTAATTGACCACGTGTTCTAAAACTTCGAGCGTGGTCTCCTCCTGTTTATCGTCCACTCTGGCGATCAATTTCGCTCCGTGAACGTCGATTCTCACGAGAACGCTGTGCCATTCGTCCCTGTTCAGACCTTCGCCGACGGTCAGGCTGGTCGACCGCTTCCCGAACACGTGCACCACTTTCAGCTGTCCTTTCTCCACGATCACGTACAGGGCGTAAGGGTCCAGGCTCTCTGGCCGATCCTTCACGCTGTGGTACACCAGCAGACCGTGGGGCAATTTCGTCCGAAATTTAAAGGATATCTCGCGGCACAGCCTGCAAATTACAGTTTGCAAAAATTGTAGTTTGCGCAATCTGCAAATTATACATGACAGTTTGCAAAAGTGGGTGAAGACTCTCTTGCTCGTGTCAATCCTGTTGCTTTTGGGGATAAAAGTGACTCGACGCCGGAACTAACAAAATGGCCAGTTTAGAATTTTTATTAGAAATTTTTTTTTAATAAATAAAAGCTTGTGTGCCCCACTGTTGTGTATAATAGATGTTTTTCTATTTCTCTGATGGAGCATTCAAGCTTTGATCGTTCCAGTGTTCAGATTTCAAATGACCTGTCACGACCTTCTTCGAGCATTTTGTCTTACATTGATAAAACAACGAGTCAAATGATCTTTCGACATCAAGAACATGATTCACACGTGCGATTCTTTGAAGCACTTTGGTTGCGATCACTCACCGTAGTTGGAAGGGCTTTATACCGCTGCCGTCGAGCTGAATGAACGTGTTACTTTGCGCGAACATGAAAGTCTTTTCGTAGCCAGATTCCATGAAAGTTAGTTCCTGTCGAATAATTCTAAATATTATATATTTCTCTCACCGAAGATATTTCTATCACAAGTCTCTCTTTTCTTTTTTCTGTTCCAATTGTGACTGCGCTCAATCTCAATATTATTTAGCTTTTTAACATCGTCAGTTTACCTTTCCTCTTTTGTACTTTGGTACGGGCGGTTTCGTTGGTTCTGGCGGTGCGAACGTTGGCCGCGGAGTTATGGCGGTGGTAGAAGGCAGTGTGCTCGTGGTCGCAGTGCTCGTTACAAACACGCTTCCCTTTGTGACCAAATAAGGCGGCAGTGTGTCTGAGAAATCGCACAGTCTAATCACAATCGGCAGATACATCAAAATTCTATCGAAATGATCTTACTAGAGGAAGTCTTTAGTTTCGATTCTCTCTCATTTTTATGCCGACATCCGAATCTTTTAGAAGATTCAAATTTCATCGATTCTACTATGAATTTCTACAAATTCGAATAACAACAACAATAATAATACTTCTACGAATTTCTACAAATAATCGAATAATAATAATAGTAAAATCGGAGATGAAAGGATTTCTTACGTTCAGGACCACCCACGCAATAGTGAAGACACTCGGCCTCCGAATTGAAGCGGTTCTCGTTGCCCAAGCAGCCGCCGTAAGGAAAAGTCCTGCATTTCCCCTCAGTCTTGACGAACGTCCACTTGTGAACGTGCTGCTTGCACGGTCCTGGTTCGGTTTTCACGAGGCATCTGTCAGGGAACGTTCTCTTCGTCGTGGTGAACGTGTCCATTTCGTTGGACAGATCGACCTCCGACGAGTCGGTTAAATTCGCCGAGACGATCGCGTGAACATTTGCCCAAACGAGGATCCTGAAGATCCATCTTTTGTGGCCTGTCATCGTTGTCTCCTTGCTGAAAAAGAAAACAAAGTCAACGAAACGTTCCTCGCGTTGAGTTTTCCTAAGAGAATGCTAGATCGTTCTCATCGTATCTAACAGCGAAGGAAATTTCGAAAAGATGAACGAAGTGTCGGAGGATGATCATTGGCACGTTATTTTTCATTGATCGTTAATAGCTTGATAGCTATTGGAGAAATAACAATGTTATTAAGCAGAAGAGCAGAGTGTCAAGTTCAGTGGAGAACGATTTATGGAGAATTTAGAATTTCTTGCGAAGGCAATCTTCTACAAATTCTACAAATCTTCTATCAATTCGATTCGAATTATTTTGATTGATTGATTAATTGGAAAATGCCAAAGAATCGGAGGTCAATTCCAGATGTCCGATTCGCTTCTTCGCATTTTCGAGCAGATCCGTCGGATGTCGCACGTGTTGGAAAGTAACGTGAAATCCTCGCAGCGATACCAACGTCATCACAACTCGGACTGCTGCTCGACACCTGACGACACTCCGTCACCGCGACAACTCAACTTTTCATTCGCGCACTCGAGTCAGACTCTCCTCTCCTCTTCGATGTTCACACCTCACCGTGCACATTCCTTGCAAACTACTTCTCTCACGGCAGTCCTCGAAGAATTACGAGAAAAAAAAAAAAAAAGAGAACATGCCGTGATCACCCGCGTAAAAGTAAAAGTAAATCCTCCGATCTCGTCCTGCACAGTTTCACAGTTTCGACTTTCGTCGCTCGGTGAAAGAAAAAGAAGAAGAAGAAGAAGAAGAAGATGACGACGAAAGCGCGAGTTACAAAGAGGGAACAGAAGGGGAGGGAGAGAAAAAGGGGAAACGAGGTGAAAGAATCGGCTCGGCCGAAAGAGGCTGGCGGTCGGATCTCACGTGCCAGGCCGGTCTGTGACAGCTTTTCTGCGTCCAAACATTGAGGACGCACGAATCTGCGTACCTTGATGTGCCGTGGTCCAAACGAGATCGCGACTAGCCAGAGGACAGGATGTGACGTCAGAAGGCCCCCGGCAAGCACGACGGCGGCTGCGAGTCAATTGTCTTCTTTCGCACTGACACACCGACAGTCTGATCTCACACGAACGACACGCCGTGTGCACACGCCGCCGTCATCGTACTATCACGGCCCGGCCACGATAAGCGTCTCCTCCTCCTCCTCCTCGTCCTCCTCGTCTTCCTCCTCCTCCTCCTCCTCCTCCTCCACCTCCTCTTCTTCTTCGTTCGAGCGCGCGATACTCTGCCTTCGCCACCTTCCCGACGACAAGACGCCCTTACCGCGTCACCTTCTTCGTCGGCATCGCGAACCAACGATCGCCCCACAAGGTGATTCCGGTCGCTTCGAACAACCCATTTTTCCAAGCTTTTTCAATCGATTAACGACGACAACGTTGGACTGGCCAACGGGGACTGGGATAATACGTATGCACATGCGAGCGAGTACGCGTTGGGTGTAGTTTCAGTCGTGAGCACTCGAACGTTGGTGTTTATTTGTATTTGTATATCGGCGGATGCGTGTACATACACACGTTGACGTTGGTTTCGGGCCGGGTTGGTCGTGACGCGAGTTCAGATTTGGAAAACGGAGGAGCTTCTCCGTTGGATTTTGGAATTTCGAGAAACGAGTACACGCGTGCAAGGGAGAATAGGAGAATTTTATTTTAGAGGACAATTAATGTTGCGAATGAACGATGCCTGTGTCTGTGTTGAAACGTTTTGGCCAAAGTTTTTCGCACATACTCTGCGAATATGTACTACGCGTAAGGAAAGAAACACCAAGGAAACTGTAACGGGCTTGACGTTACTATGATACAAGACGAGAATAGGTCGACAATCAATGTACTCTGTGGCTACTTTGTAGCTATTAATACCGGTGCTCAATATTTCAAATCGTTCGCCGATTCTCTTAGTATTACCGTCTGTGATAAAAAAAAAAAAGAAGAATTTATTTCGAAATTTGTCACACGCGAAAATTTCATACGTTTAATATCGCTTGTTGCTCTTCTACTGTGGATTTTTTTACAGTTTTTGATTTCAAGCAACCTAAATTTTTATACTCTTATACGAGAAAGTTTGGCCTAAAAAATTAAAAATAGGACAATCTGTACATGTTGTGTGGATAATAAAATAGTACGTAATAAAATAGTACGTAAATAAAATAGTACGTAATAAAATAGTACGTAAATATAGTGATTACTTAAGTATTTCTATATTTATAAGTAATTTCTATATTTATAGTGGTAAATATAGAAATTATTTTCATAACTTATAAAGTTATTTTTACAACCTATTATTTCCATAACATTTCATATAGCGATTTTTTATTTCCATGACTTGTTACTTATCTTATTGACAAATTGTTTAATTCGAGTGCTTGCAGAAGAATATCGGTAAACGTAGTTGTTGCTCAAGTCGAGATCACAGGGACGTGATCGAATTAAATTTGGGAAGCTTAAACGACTCAGAGACTCGATTCAAATATCCTACACTCTCGTCTCATGCTTTAACGTTTCAAAAAAGGAATTTCTGTCGAAATTTGCCAAGATTGTCAATCATTTCGAAAATTTCAAAATCATCAAATGTGCAATTTGAACGCGCTTGATTTAATTTAGTTAAATTACGAAATGTTCGAGGCTTTACATAGATGCTTCGTTTAAAAAAGTTTTCAAGTTTCACTGCAAATCGAACCTTGAAGAGATTAGGCAGCTGAGAAGGAAGTTGCAAGAAAGTGAATGGAAAGTCTATCGCTGTTCATCTTCTTCCCCCTCGTCATTGCCGCTGTAATCGTTCCCTATTCTCCTTCCTTTCGCCTATCTGTTACTCCACCATGTCCTGGTGATGCTCCTGTTTGCTGCTGTTGCCGCCGCTTGTAGCAACTAGACACTAATTTATTAATACCACTCGGACTGTTACTCTCTCTTATTCGTCACGGTTTATTGACTTCCATTGCAGTCCAGCCACCATCGACACCATGTTTTCGCATACACCCTCCTTGTCCATTTAATTTCTAGCTTCTTCTGCCTTTACACTTGTTCAGTTAACAAGCACAGTGTGAAATCTTTGAATTTTTGAAATTTCAAACGCTGTGACGAAGGATATTTATTAATTCTATTCTCAAAGTTTCTTGGTTAATCTATCAATCATTGATTATCGTTCCGTTTCAAGAGAAAACCTGTGTCTCAAGGGATGAAAACTGAATAATTTCAGTTTCTCCGTGTTATTTTTTTTTTTTTTCCCTCGAATCAGAGTAGTCGAGCCTCTTATTTTCAAACAGCAGGGTAGCGTGCTCTTCACTACCGCTCGGCACTTCTTCTCGTTGTCCCCGGAAAATCGATATATCGAGCAAACCTGGCGAGTGGGTCATTGTAGTGGGCAGATTTAAAGCGAAGGCTCGACGAAAGAGGAAAAAAAAAAAAAAGAAGGAGAAGAGAACTCCGGCTCTCCATTTGCGTAATGAGCAATCAAATTTCCTACATCCTTCTCTTCCTTCCTCAGATCCCTGATTAATTAAACGGCAGGCTAATTGAGACTACGTTTGATCGCCAGCCAGGAATACAAGTTCCCGAGTCAATTAAATTTTTTTTTTTTTTTTGAAGCTGACATGGTTGAATTGAGAGTGGCGTGGAGTTAGAAATTATTCGACTCGTGTCGAAATAAAAATATCAAGCCATCATGCTTAATGAATATTGTTTCTCATTCTATGTATGACAAAATGAAAATTTTCTACGTGATATTTCGCGATTCTTATTTTAAATTTGCACGAGAATAAAAACAGCTGAACAGAATTTTAATATTTCCCTAAAACAAAGTGGATACTTCGGCGTGATGTTATCGAATCAAGAATCAAAAAGAAAATTTATACCGACTTTGTATCAATGTTCGTTGAATCAGGATTTTTCCCGGTGAAGAGAATTCGAATGAAATTATATATATATAGTATCAATCTTTATTTTATTTTAAATTTGTACGAGACTAAATAAAACGAGAATTTTTATATTTCTCAACGTGACATTATTGCTAAATAAAGAATGAAAAAGTAGGAGCGAAAGTCTGTATATCAGTATTCACTGAAACAGCGTTGGCTCTACGAATGAAAAGCAATCCATTACTCACGATCCATCTCCACGCGCGGGACCAATTTTATTTAAGACCAGAGGCTCGTTGCATGACCGGAAATCACGTAGGGCGCTACATCGATCTTTTACCCTTTGAAGGGAAACCATTTAGAATTTACATAAAGGAAGTTTATCTCCTAGGAGTCGCTGAGCGCCAGCGCGCATATCAATGAAAAAATGACGAATTAACCAGAATCCTGCGATGATTCAATCTCATGTAACTATGTACGCGCTTAACAAAAGCACTATACGTGTCGTTTCTTTCATAAGGAAATTTACGTACGACGATCTCGTCTAATATCATTGAATATAAGAATATAATTATAATATAATATATAAATTGAATATATAATAATATAATATAATATTATAATAATTATAATATAATTATAATTATTATATTGCATCTAGTTAATATTATTCAACTCTCAAATCCACGAGAAAAGAACGTGAAACTACGCTAGAAGCATTTTCAAAAATATTTCCGATCTTATTAACTTTATGCTCTTTTCCCAAATGAAAAAATTGACTGAAATGTGGCAGAGAGGTCTGGCAGAGTTTGTCGATGAGCCTGGAAGCGTCTGCAAACGATCCAACAGGTTGATAGGGACGGGATCAGTAGTCCAAGAGCCAAGTATGTAAATACTTGTTAGCGTGATAATAATAATTCTTTGTGCATACAGTTTTCTGAATTTCGTTGAACCAGAAGATCGAAAGTGTTTCCTTAAAGGGAAAGGCTTCGCGACGCGGCGCTGATTTCTTTCCAGAGTTAGTTAGAGTCCGCTTCATTGACCGAATTGAATCTTTAAGGACTGTCTTCTAATTGGCGCGACTAATAATCGTCGTGTGCGCTCGAGTGCCCCCTGCGTCACGCTTCAAAAATGTTTCCCACCTCCTTTGTTTCAATTTTTCTCAATCATTCACCAACTTTTCTTCGTTTGCCGAAAGCACTGTCTACTACGAATCTGAGTTTTTATTTTACACTTCAGTTCAGTCGGAGCGGAATCGTGCCGTGTGTTTCGAATGGAGTGCGAAAAAAAGCTTTCCGGAGACAAAGGAAATATTTCGAATCGGAAATTCACTCACGTGCGAAGCGAAATCGTCGTCGCGATTTCGTTTGTTCTTTCAATTACAAAATTTCGATCTTTCGGATGTAATGTGATTGTCGATGTATGAATGTCTCGATCTTCCCTCTTCAAAAATTACTCCAAATACCAAAGGCTAATTTTAAATTCCTACGAGTATTATTATCATTCAAAATTGTGTTACTTACACGTACCGCGCATAGTCACAAAATCTTCACGAAGAAAAGCGTCGAAAAGGAGAAACACCTAAGAGAACACGCTGATCATCGTTCACTCGCGACTAGAAAAAAAAAAAAAAAGAACGTGCAACCGCGTGTTGTCGAAGTTACTCGCTATGTTACTTGTTATCGAGGAGTTTCTTCGTTTCTTTTGCCAGAGCCGAGCACAGT